TCATATTTCAATGTTTTATACACAAAAGAAGCACACCTCTATAAAAACATAACGATTTTTCGGGTCTCAGGTAAGTTTTTTCGGAGTTATACAAACTTAAAAAGATGTTATTGGTTTTTTTCAATGTTTTGAGTTTTTTTTTCTAGAAAGACCAAATAACCAAAGCTTAGTGAGCTGTTTATTGTATAATGGCCCTAAAAGTAAATTAATTTATAGCAAAACATAGGCTAGTTATATAAATAATATTAACTATTTTTAATATTCAGTTTTATGTCCGTGATGGTCGTGACAAAATTTCGTGTTTTTCCATCAAAGATGCTCTATTAATAAAAAATCACCAAAGATATTGTGTTACCATGGACATTTTATAAAACTTCAAATGTTAATGAAAAAAAAATAAAAGTTTAAAAAAATGGAACAATAAATTTGTAAAGAGCTTTTCCTGAAAATGTACACGTTTCAAAATTTTCTCCCCAAAAGGCTTCTGAACAGTCTCAAAATCAAACTGACATCCGTCTGGTTACTAACACTAGTCTAGGAGTAGTAAAAAACTCACACACTGAATTACAGTAGGTGCTTAGCTTTGGACCAAAACATTGAACACTCTCTTATGTGTAGCCTTGGTAAGTTGTGTAGGTCTACCTACCCAAGATTGGTACTGTTTACTTTTATGTTAATAAATTTTACTCGGGTAGATGAGGCCACTATTCAATGAATTGAATTTATTTTATTATCTTTGTCCAGGCTTTCAGTTGGACATTGATTGCAAGGATACTGGCTGTTGAATGTTTCGATTTTGTATAAGAAGCCTACTGTACTGCACTTATCCCAGGGTGGAAAAGCTGGCTAGGCCTAACATGGAAACGCCACAACCATTAATTTTAGTTAATTGACATTAAACATTTCATCTGGCACTTTTACGAATGTTTTAATTCACAGTGGTTTTAAATAATGATATTTAACTTAGTACAGTTCTGTTATTACATGTATTAGTAGTAGTAGTAATCCCACTCACAGCTACTGCTCAGATCTTGAGCCCAACTCCAAAAAATTATTGCAGAAAATAGAAAGAACAATAGGTTTAAGACAAATAGTACCATACCAATAATGGAAGCCACCCCAAAGTCCATGCCTCCTCCACCACCACCATCACCTTCATCATCATCATCATCATCATCACTAGCGTCAGATCCATCAGTTGGTGCTGCTGTAGCTTTAGGCTTAGAAGGTTTCGGCTTAGGTTTTTTGAGAGGCGACTTTTCATCTTCTTCCTTTTCCTCTTCACCAGCTTGACGTTTCACAATGTCACTCAAGCCTAAGAGCTTTAACATTTTAGTAAATCTCTTTTCTTGTGCATCTAAGGATGAATTTCTAGAATGGTTTTCAAATGAATTAAACTTTGACTGTTTAGACAAATCCAAGTGATTATTTACAGTTTTTTGCTCAGTACTTGATTCTGTTGAATTACAACAGCTAAAGTTTTCTTTGCTTTTGTTTTTCAAAGAACACTCATTGAAATATTTTAAGAAGCAGCTTGGATTTGGAAATTCATTAAGAACTTTGTTGTATTCGTCTACAAAATTTAATGATCCTATCACTTCCTCTTCAGCTCCCAAATCATAAAATGAATCTATTTGCCTTCTCGTTCTGTTTGTGTGCTTGTCTGTGTTGTTGGCTTCTCCTCCACCGACCTTTTGTATCCTTGCAAGCCACAAAGATGCTGGACATTTCCCCTTATGACAAACCGTCTTTTTCGCTGATGATTCGCCCACAAAAGACAAAACACTGAGCACAATCCAAAATGCGGTGAATAGAATTAAAAGCAACAAAGCTATAAACGCGCAACATCTGCTTTCACAGTAGGCAGAACTGAATGCTGAAGCTCCAATGACGAGCAATCCAGCCACAAAAGCCAGAACAAATATGATGCTGTAACCGAAGGAACCTCCACCTCCATCGAGGACTGTTTGAAACAGGGATGACTCAAAGAAATTGGCTACAAATACAACAGCCCCCAAAGTAAGAAAAACAGAAGCCAAGACGGTCACACCAACTTGTAATGTTAAAAGTCCACAGCATGTTGTGAAACCCATTTAAAAGTCTCTAGTTAATCTCTGTTATATTTCTGTTTGGTTATATATATAAAAAAAACTGAAATACAATTATTGCAATTTATACTCTTCGTGGAAACCTTAAAATAAGGCTAGCACAAAACATGTTTACTTTTGAATACCGTATGTGTTTGTATTTGTTTTAATTGTCAAAAGAAGAACCATTATTTGTGTTAAAGTCATATGCACAAAGTCCCGTACGATGGTAAACAACAAGGCTACATTCGTGAAGGCTATGTAGCCTTGAGTAAACAAGTATTTTAAAGTAAACAATTTTATAAGGTACACACAGTTTTTTTGCCATACTCATTAGAACCACGGTCCACGAACACTTGAACAGAACCGGTATGGATCATTAAACTCAAACAAACAACGTTGCTGGTCCGAGTCCTATACTAATGCAGTAGCATAGATACTCCCTTTTATGTTTTATCTATGCTAATAGCAATGTTAAATAATGTTTTCTTTCGGATTTGTTTTGTCTAGTATTCGTGTTAAAACCCATCGTCCTTGTGAGATCGGAATTATTTAAGTTCAAACAAAGAACATTGATAAATCATAGTGTTGGTTAGTATATTGTTCAAATAACCAAATCCAGGATAAATCGATACCACTAGGTTATATCAAAGCAAAGCTAAATGTTAACATGTAAACCGCGTATTTGTTGCTGATAGCGGCCGGTCAAGTACCTGTAGGTCTATTGTCCCAATCCCAATTAGTTTTGTCATCTAATGCAGACAAATAATCATATTATATTTTCAGTACTAATCTCGACCAACGACCACAGAAAAAAGGATTCTTGAAGATTCGCCGACCCTTTGCAAAGGGAAAGGTACCCATTTTTGAAATTGTCGAGATATTAGGCAATAAAAATGATTGAGCGTAAATTAGCTTCTACGCTGTGACACAACCAAATTATGGTTTTTAAAACAGTTAGTAAGCTGCTCGTGTCCTCACACACTTATACATACACATAAGTGTTAGATTGTTCAGGGGTTGCATGGCATGTACAAATTATTCATTTATCACAATCTAGTAGATTATTACTGGAAAAAAGTTACTTAACAGCTGGTTCAAATAAATATCATACAAGCCGACGTTATCTCTGTTATGAATGTTTGGTTATTGTTTAATTATATTTAGACATAAAAAACAAAACCATTAGTTACACGACATGAGGTTACTCAAAAGGCCCCCGAAAAATTGATTTTATCTCCGCCAGACTTGCCGTGTGTTTGACGTGGAAGATTCGTGATGGGTTTGATAACGTTTTGCGGATTGTTGACTCTACAAGTGGGCGCCGCTGTCTTGGCTGCCGTGTTCTTCACTCTGGCGGGTGTGATCCTCGCCGCCAATCTGTTCGACTATCACAGTAGTGTCGACGGATGGTTCCCGTTCTCGCTCGTGTTGATGTTGATCTTTGTGATCGGTTTGATCATCGCCGGTATCCTCATGTTCGCTTCCTCTTACAGTGAGAACAGGTCGTCAGCGTTGATGGCGTTGATTGTGATCATAATCTTGATTTGCTATTGGATTATTCTATGCTGTTTCTCCTTCTTCAGCCATAAAGATCAAGTCAATGGTGTTTGTATAGACACAAGGTGCCCCGAGTCCTTTTGGATAGGGAATTTACGCTACAGAAGATACCACTTTAATGACACAGAAGAAGAGCCTGCGAGAAGAAAAAGGGATATTAACACTGAGGAGTTTAGAATGCCAACCAACTTAACAACAGAAGAGCCCATCATTGTAGAGGAGCATGGCCCTCGTCGCTACCGCACACGCCGACCGGAGTACGTGGACCATCTTGATGGAGAAGAGGGAGGAGCGTCTAGGTAGGTGTGATTGCTTTTAGAACTATTGTCGGCATTTTCCACCGAGAATGGTTAAACAAGTTTTAACTACTATAAGGGGCTTAGTTGCTAACTATAAAAATATCTGTCGTCGTTTAGGACTGAATTAGGTATTTTATTTGTAACAACGAATTATAAGTTACATTTACAGTAACTAAAATTTATATATGACAACACGTGATGCCTAGTGGAATAGTTTACATTTTCATTAGATATAATATTTGCTTGTGTTGTATAATATGACTTAAAAATGTGTTCGATATCAAACAAGTTTAAAAAGTTATTGAAGATAAATATGGGCGGTTTTTTTTTCATAAGCATCATTAGAAACCCAACGTTTCCGCAAGATTGGTTTTGGTTAAGATCAAAATATCAGATAGGCTATCAGATTTTATGTCAAATCGTAATATTTATGCTGTAAGCGGTAGGTGAAATACAGTCCCAATCAAAGAATTTGCTTAGTTCTCCCAACGAATCTAATTAACTTTACAGTAGCCTAATCGCGTAATATTCGTTTTATGAGTGAGGCTTCGGATACCGATTACCGTAATTGACAAGATGTTGGGCGATATAAAATATTGTTAAATCCTAGACGTGGGAGATCGCCGTGTCTTTTAATTGGTGAAAATAGTTGCAGTTTGGATACGTTGCAGTGATCTATGTTCGGGGGTAACTTGTCTTGATAATTTACTACAATCTTGTAAATAATTATTGATTATTATTAATTGTTATCGATACAAACGATTTTTATTACCAATGTAGGTCTGGCCTTTTATAACACTGTTGTCGGTGTTTTTCTTAAACTTGAAATATTCACTGATTGTTATGTGTATAAAAATAGTCCATTTTAACAGCTGTTACAAATGGAATATGTTGACGTTGATATTATAAATGTTTGGCTAAAGTTTATTTACCTGTAGAATTCTAAAACATAACCATACTTTCAGTATGACGTTATTCAAGATGTCGTTTATTCTCTGAAAGATTGATTGTATCGACGCCAGACTTGCCGTGTGTTTGACGTGGAAGATTCGTGATGGCTTTGATATCGTTTTGCGGATTTTTGACTCTACAAGTGGGCGCCGCTATCTTGGCTGCCGTGTTCTTCACTCTGGCGGGTGTGATACTCGCCGCCAATGTGTTCGACTATCACAGTAGTGTCGACGGTTGGTTCCCGTTCTCACTCGTGTTGATGTTGATCTTTGTGATCGGTTTGATCATCGCCGGTATCCTCATGTTCGCTTCCTCTTACAGTGAGAACAGGTCGTCAGCTTTGATGGCGTTGATTGTGATCATAATCTTGATTTGCTATTGGATTATTCTATGCTGTTTCTCCTTCTTCAGCCATAAAGATCAAGTCAATGACGTTTGTATAGACAAGAGATGCCCTGAGTCCTTTTGGATAGGGAATTTACGCTATAGAAGATACCACGTTAATGACAAAGAGCCCGACGAGCCTATTAGAAGAAGGAGGGATGCTCATTTTGAGAACTTAAACAGCAAACGAAGAGAAGATCAGGCATTTCAAGGTCCTGCAAGTGAAGTTGATGAATGGGAAGAAAATGCAAACGAACTCAACCTAATTGGGCCGGAAACCAAAGGCAAAAGAATCGATTATATACCTATAGGGGAAGAAGATAAGAAAGATCGATATGTTAAAGTTGTCGCAGAGGACACATTGCCACTTACAACACCAGATGACCCCTTTACGACACCAGGGCCCGTGGCGCATGGTCCTCGTCGCGGTCGCTACTACCATAGACAAAGAAATACCACAAGTTTGCCGAAGTACGTGGCCCAGCCTGATGAAGAAGATGAAGGAGCGTCCAGGTAGGTGTGATTATTGTCGGCGTTTTCCATATACAGCCCTACATCACTATGAACAAATCCATAGTTTGGCAAACTAGTGTACACGGCGGTATAAGGCATTTAGTTACCGGTACTGGTTGAAAATAAATACCCACCACCTAGATTTGCATTGAACTCGCAACGACAAATTAAAAACTCAACTCAAATTAATACGCAACCTTGAAGAGTGTCATTTCAAACGTATTTAACGAGTGTGGCATCCAAAATCAAAATCAAAATAGCATTTATTCCGCCAAACTATTTACAAATTACATCATGTTAGTCATTTACAAAAACGTTTACAACACTGTTAATTAAAAAAATATATAAACAATACAATATAAACATTAAAATATAAAAAAAAAAACACTTTAAATTAGCGAAATGTTTTCCACAAATAAGAAATACCCATGTGTTGTTGTATTTTTATGTTTTTTTATAACTAATTGATGAAAGAAAACAAAATTTTTGGAACGATTTTAAGGATAATGATTCAACTATATTACCAGGTAAATACATCATAGCGGTGATTATAGTAAGGCGATCCAGGCGTTATAAGTTATGGTCCTTAGAAATTGATTTTGTCGATGCCCTCAAGTTCATCAGCTTGGTAGTGACTTTTAATTTTAGCTTGATTAATGACAAGAACTTCTTCTTTTTAGGTCACCAAAATATACTTGAACTATAATATCATAGTTGTTAATGCCAGTGTAGTATAGAATGCGCGGCAACCTTGTATACAGTATCTAGTTGTCTTATCACCATTCATTCTTTAGTAATCTGGGCGTATTAGCACAGAAAACATACTACTATTACATACTACCTATTACTACTATTATGGGTTTAGTAGTATGTTTTCTGTGGTATAAGTGAGCTAGGCCAGCGGAGCTAAGTGTTACTACTCTACCAGATAGCTGAACTATAATACCAACCTTGTTATAGGAAGCTATGGAGAAGATTTGATTTGATTTATGATCAATGTATTAACTTGTTTAAAGGTTCCATCAAAAACCAATTTTTCAAAGTGTTTTCTATTTTAGTTGCAAATGATCAAAGTCGTACAAATTATTGATGTACCGATTATTTACTTAAGTTGTTAAAACACACGTAGGCATACTTCGGAATACCACAAAACAACAGATTCACCGTTCCAGATAAAGCGGGCAGGGAGATCTAAAAAAGTTGCAAATGTTTCTTTTCAATATATTATTGAAGCACTCCACAAAATTGGATCTCGGACGACCCATAATTTTTTGCCAGTTGTATTTTATTTATTTATTTTTTTTGCTGAATTAAACGTGAAATATTAATTTAGAAATGTGTTGAAACTTGTTTGATTTAGTTTAGGAAAGGTTAGCTCACAGAAATATGCCCAAATAGGGGTGTGGTGGGAGAAGGAAGAGGAACTAAGCTCTTTGAAATTCTTGAGACAAATAATTCTCGAATTTTTAAATTGAATGTTTATTTAATTCGGCACCTGGTGGGAAATGCCGACAATGTTTCTTTAACCTAAACTGTCCATCACCAACAACATGTCTAACTACAGGTATGTGTTCGGAGCGGCCATGATCGGCGCCATCCTTCTGTTCATCCTCAACCTGCTGTTCCTCCTGTTCTCCGCCTTCGTCATGTACAGCTGGGCCCGGGAACTGGACTATGGTGACTACTACTACGACGACGACCCCGTCGTTATCGTAGAAGACTACTGATCCGTTCAACTTAGTTTTAATTTGTTCGTGTTTACACTTTTGTGAGATTATATACATTTTTATGAAAGGGTGATGATTTTTTTTAGATGAGGGGCAGTTTTTAATGGGCTCGGCTAAATATGCAAAGAATCTTGGCCAGTAACAAACCTACACAAAACATCTCACTTTGCATATTCACACTATCTTGTACCCGCGGCTTTTCCAGCGAGGGTATAACCAAGGAGATTTGCGTTAAACTACATGTCTAATTGCGTTACAATCTCATTTGGTTTACTTTGGGGCTACTTTTGTTTATCTATACGATTGGCATTTTCTCCATTTTTTGTAAGAGAATGTTTCACCCCCTGGCCTTATTGCTGTACCGTCTAACATCGCTCTTTTGTCAGACATCATTAAATTGATAGCCAAACACCACATAGCATCTCGGTCTACAATCTACATCGCTAGGAATCAAACCACTAACCATTTTAACTTTAATACTTTTCAATAAAATAGCGACCATACAAAGTGAGTATTTTTAGCCAGGTATGAATGGAGATGAGTGGTGCGATCTTGTAGTCTTGCTTGACTAAGGCCGATTTTTTAGGGACTGACCTTTAATGCTAGCAATGTATCCAATCGGCTATGTAGAAAAAATTAGTTTGAAATGCTAATATAATATAAAATGTTGGGAGACTGCTTATGCGACGGTAAAGAAAGTTTTTTATATATTGACACACACGCATTTCAATTCTGGTGAATATGAGTGATTGAATGGTGATTGTATTGTATGTGAGGTACATAGTTTTGGCTGTCTAAATAGGAGTGAACGAAGGTAACTTGATGCTGTATTGATACGCGAGCGCTGTCAGAATCAATCAATTCTAATAACAATATTATAGTTTTATAGAGTGGCGCTTTTTCGTCTTGTACCTTATTCTTTTGTATACAGTTCTATATTACGCAGTTGAATTTAAAAAAAAAATTAAATTAAAATCAGTGCAGTATAATTTATATAAAGCCCTGAAACTATTTGGATCTACTCTTTCTACTGAACTGTATATGATAAGCCCCTGGTTACAGCGCAGTGAATTTCTGTGAAAGGATAGTCGTAAAAGTAAAATTGGGTAAATTACCTTCACGATTGCCAAATTTATGTTACGATATGGATTGTTTACGTAAACCTGTATTTTTAGATAAATTGTATGAACAACTATGATAACCTTATTTGTACATCTTTAAGACATTTTGGACGATTCAGGTAATTGTTGCCTCATCGTAGTATAGTGTAGTAAATGCAATATGAAGTATATTTTTAAAATATACTCATAGTTACATGATGCCGCAAGTGACAGTTGTATGGTCGTGTTGGTTGTTTCTAAATACAATTCCACAAGTGTAAGTACTATTGTCGAAACCCGACCCATACTCCGGCCAACCACCTACATGTCATGGCCTCGACAGTCGATACCGCAACATTGGTCTGGTTCTGGTGTGGAGTTTCATTTATTCAAGTCCTCAAGTTGATGTTCCTCGCAATCCCTGATACCTTGGTCAATGCCCAATTTTTTACATAAACAAACTAAGTTGAATATTTCTTCGTCAATTTTAAAAACATCGTCTCTAAAAAATTTACCATTGATTAAACTTGAGGAAATAAGTAACATGATATTTTGTAATGCACGTAAATCTTAAATGCCTATCATTAGAAAATCAGTTAAGTTTTTGGTCCCAGGAGCTGTTTAAAATAATGGTCCTGGATAAGAAACCTGCTTATCTTAGTCCTGAGCTTTCATCTCATTTGTCCATCAGTCTAGCAAATAAATACGGTGGTCTGTCGGCGTCGTAAATACCTTAATAAAAATCTTTTTTGAATTGCTGTACCTTGTGTCAAGAACTTCTTCTTTTTAGCTCTCCAAAATATACTTGAACTACAATATACTTTGAACTACGGTAATGAATATCTTATTGATTCTTATCCCAAATCATATTTTGACACATTCCGACATGGTCTTTATCACATTACTAATTTGGTTTTAAAATACAAAATAAAATATCTCCTAACACAGAGTTATCGTCGGGCCTAACTTGAGAATGTATTTTTTAAATGTCTGTAGACTACCTACGTGTTTTGCTTAGTAATGATTGACTTAGTAACTCCGATGCATACGTTTTAAAGAACCTACTACTGATATCACCAATGTGCTGTAGTTAGCTACACTATGTCCTAATGTCGCGGCCCTCTGCATAGTTCAAACTTCAAAGTGATGTGTTAAAACTGTTCAGGTCTGGAGCCCAGCGTCCTAGGATGTGAAGGAAATACATAAACACTGGCATTGTGTACACGGACACGAAGATAACGCTTTAGAGCTATCGTCATACAATGCAGGAGCGACATTTCCCTGTAGTTTCCTTGCTCTGTGGCAGTCAGAGCTATCGTCATACAATGCAGGAGCGACATTTCCCTGTAGTTTCCTTGCTCTGTGGCAGTCACCTGATTGCGAAGTCTCGGCAGATAAGGCAATGCAAGGCAAGGCGGCGCACACTGTAGGTGCCAAGGTCGTGACGTCACATCGTGGGCTACACCACACACACACACAGTCACACTTCGGCCCTTAAAGTTTAAATATTGTATTGGATAAAAAAATGTCTTGAGCCAATGGGAATGCCTTGAATAGTGGCTAAATTTGAGAGTTATTACCGAACAGTATTACTAATTACTTGGCCTACCAGCTGAGATGGGGATGCAACTGACCGTATTTTTACAGAAATGTGAATGAAAGATGAGTTTATGATGGAGATCCATTGCAGCTTTGTTACTGACGTTCAGCTTTTTTCAACAACAAGGGCCGTTTATCAGTTTGGATCTACCAAAAAGCTACTAACTTTTCTTACTTACTTACGGGATAGAATCGGAGATCTCTATATTACTAGGCAAGAACTATAACTATTCAGCTAGCCTACCCAGTTTTATTGCTCAAGTGATATTACTGTTACAAAATAATGTAGCCTATAGTAAGTATCAGTCGGTTTCTTACTTTCATTTCAAAGAGGTTCGATTTTCATTTCATTATCTCGCAGTTTGACTTCCTACTGCAGAATATGTTTTATTTCAAATACATATTATTTAAATTCCTACATTAAAATAATCCAAAATATTTCTTCTCAGGCGTTTGCCAATGTCTCCAAAGCTAGCCTTTTGGCCTCTGGTGTCCTCAGAACACATTGTGTAAACGAGTGGGTATGACAGTTGGATCATGTATTGCATGTTTCCGTCTCCTAGGCAGGGCGCGCGGTGGATGGATGGAAGGGCGCAGGTGTTTTTGTCGGATATTCTTCAAGGTTAAAACCGTTTTGTAGTCGCCCCAACCCCATGATTAACTCCACACCCAAACGCTTCTACATTTTACGTAGCAGAGAAATAACCCCCTCCCTCGCTCCCACCCGATTTTGAAACAACCTTTTTGCTGGGCAATTTATTACATGCTTTGTTTTGTTGTTTTGTAAATTAATTACATAAAATTTGCAAATTGTAAAATTTAACAATGTAGAACAAATCAAATCACTGAGACGAATAGTTCTTTAATGGGAACATTCTTTAATGCGACGCACACTTGAGTACATTTTGAGCTGAATGCGAATGCAAGATGCGTATAGAATGGAGTAAGGTTTTGTGGGTTGTTACTGACTAAGATTTGCTGTTAGCCAAGATGATTTTTAAAAACCAGCAATGATCGAAGACAACTGGGTCAAGTTTCAAACTTCCGAAAATGAAAATGTTTTTAGGATCGAACAGACGGCCATATAATTACTAGGCGATAACTAACTAGGTGAGTACTATAACCAATAATTTAATTGAGTCTTTAACTAACGCTTCACTTAGTCTATCATCTCTCATCGATAAATCTTGAACTCGGTGTGGAAGACCTGTTTTATGGCTTGTATACGGTATTTTTCACGGTGCCACATATCTTCAAACCGAAGACTCAGCTAGTACAGTCTATATTCTCTACGCCAATCTTCTCAGAACAAACTACTTGTACAGTAGGGTCAACGTGATGGGACAGGTTGAATAGAGCAAATGCCGATGTTTTTGCCAGTATAATAGACGTATTGAGACGTGGTGGACCGTGCAGATTCCAAGATACTGAGGCGATTTGGTTCTTTCATCCTCGGAGGAATGTGGGAGCGGGGAGAAAAACTGTCGTAACTGCTGCCCCATCCAAGGTGATTTTTTGTAACTTGTAAATCGTGTCGCATAACACTTATATGGTCATAAGACGGTCTTATCATATAAATTGTATTAGTTGTAATATTGTTGTATAAATTGTATAGTTGTATAAATTGTATTAGAGAATGATCTCGCCCCATTGATGAGGATCACAAACTTTTCTGCGATTATTGAGTTGTTTAGTCTTGATTCAATTCTCTTAGACAATGATACACTTATTGTTCGTATTTGAAGCTGAATATGTAGGATTTCAGAGTGATGTGGAATGGAGTGAGATGACTTGTAGCTTTGTTACCGAGATTCACAGTTTCTTTAGCAAAGACCATGTAAGCACTACAAAAATGATCAGGGTCAGCTTGGCTCAGTTTCGAACCGTGACATCTTTTTGAGTACTGAATTAGATCGAACACGATTATCAATCACATGCAATGCGATTGATCTTATCAAACTGGAATGATCTCGTTTGGGTAGATAGCAATAATGTTCATTATATATAGTAATCGTGGAATGTTAAAAGTAGATAGCGATGGCTCCAAGGTTTACAGTGTACTATGAGATACTTTAATTAATAAAAAGTATTTTACCAACAAGACTTAAGTTTATAAATTATTTTACATTAAATGTTTTAATTATAACAGGGGTTAACTATAATTAACAGATCGATGTAAATCAAAATGTACAAAATCTTATATTTGTTATGTTTGTAGAGGAATAAATCTAAGAACAACATTATCCAAAAGATTATTGCTAACATTCATTCTTCGTCATGATTAGTAAAAACTTGACAAGATTTGTTTCCAACTAATTGCTATTGAAAATGTCCTCTTTATTCTTTTTAAAATCACCATAAAAACAATC